ACACCAAGATAACTCACAAATTATAATCCTAACCTTACCCCGAAAGTTTTCCATGAAATATCTCTCTTTTATTATCATTTTCGCATTACTCTAGCACATCGATTCTTTGGAAAGAAATGACATCATTCAATTTATAGCATTCTGTTTTTAGTGGTGGTATTCTCATTTACAAAATATAGTAATGCTCATTGCTGAAAATTTCAAATCCTAGAAAACATAATATTCCTACACATGATGTTAAATTAATGCTGGCAATCAGCTGCACTTTTTTTTTCTAAACAGGAAAATGGTTAAAAAGTTTAAAATTTTTCTTAAATATAAAAATGTTTATAAAATAAGAATATAAGGAAGGAAAACATTTTTTGTACAGCTGTACAATGTGTTTATTTTAAGCTAAGCGTTATTACACAAGAATCAAAAATATAAAAACATTAAAGAGCTTATAAAGTAAAAAAAAAGTTAAAGTAAGCTAAGGTCAATTTATTATTGAATAAAAAATATTTTTAGGATGTGGTTCCATAGTGTAGCAGTTAGCACATCTGCTTTACACGCAGAAGGTCCTGAGTTCACTCCCCAATGGAGCCACAGTCCATGGTCTATGGCCATACCACCCTGAACAAGCCTAATGTCTGGTTTCGGAAGCTAAGCAGGGTTGGGCCTGGTTAGTATTTGGATGGGAAACCACCTAGGAAGACCAGGTGCTGTAGGCATAAATAATAAAAATATATATTTTTATATATTTAGTGTAGCCTAAGTGTATGTTGTTTATAAAGTCTAAAGTAGTGAACAGTTATGTCCTAGGTCTTCACAATAACACCACTCACTCAGTGACTCATCAGAGCAACTTCCAGTACTGCAAGCTACATTCATAATAAGAGCCTTATACATGTGTATCATTTTTTACCTTTTATACCATATTATTACAGTGGCTTTTCTATGTTTAGATTTTTTTAGATACACAAATACCATTGTGTTATAACTGCCTACAGTATTCATTACAGTAACATGCTCTAGAGGTTTGTAGCCTAGGAGCACTAGGCTATACCATATAGCCTTGGTATGTAGTAGGCTATACCATCTAAGTTTGTGTAAGTACATTCTATGATGTTCACACAACAATAAAATTGCCTAAAAACAAAGTTCTCAGAATGTATTCTCATCATTAAGCAATAAATGACTATATGTAGAAAATCTAAAAGAAGGGACAAAAAAAAAACCTTCCCAGAACTAGTAAGCAATCACAGCAAGGTTACAGTATACAAGATTAATATATAAAAATTGATCATTTTTCTATATATTAGTAATGAACAAGTGAATTTGAAATTAAAAACACGTCATTTATATTAGCACCCGCAAAAATAAAATACTTAGATATAAATCTAACAAAATATATACAAAATCTGTATATACAAAACTCTGAAGAACAAAATCAAAGATCTAAATAAATGGACTATTGTCAATATTGTCAAAATGTTAGTTCTTCTCAATTTGATGCAAGATTAAATGAAATCCCATTTAAAATCCCAGTAAGATCTATCACAAATAATGACAAATTGATTCTGAAGTTTACATGAAGAGGCAAAAATATTTCAAGTAGTTGACACAATATTTAAGGAGAAAAATAAAATTGGAGGATGAATACTATTTAAGACATACTATACAGCTACAGAAATCAAGACAGTGTGGTATTAGCAAAAGAAAGACAAATAGATCAATGGAACAGAAGAGATCTGTTGGAATAGAACGCCCATCAAGAGACCCACACAATATAGTCAATTGGTTTTTGTCAATGGAACAAAGGCAGTACAAAAGATACAGTCTTTTCAAAGTTGTGTTGGAACAACTGGACATCCACATGAAAAAAAAATAAATCTAGATACAGACCTTTTAAGTTTTACAAAATTTAATTCAAAATGGGTTATTGATATAACTATGAACTCCTGGAAGATAACAGAGGAGAAAACCTAGATGTCTTTGAGTATGGCAAGTACTTTTTAGATACAACATAAAGGCATAATCCATTAAAGACATAATGGATAAGCTGAACTTTGTTAAAATTAAAAATTCTGGTTTTTTAAAATTTGTTTATTTTTATTATAGTGACATTGGTTAATGAAATCCAGTAATTTCAGGTGTAAAAATTCTGTTTTGTTAAAGATAATGTCAAGAGAATGAAAATACACAGACTGGGAAACAATACTTGCAAAAGACATGTCTGATAAAAGACTGTTATCCAAAATATATTTTTTAAATATTCTTAAAACTCAACAATAAGAAAACATAAAATCTGATTTAAAAATGGGCCAAAGACATTAACAGACAACTTGCTAGAGAATATATACAGTTAGCAAATAGAAAAGCATATAAAACAATGCTTCATATTATATGTCATGAGGGAAATGCAAATTTAAGCAATGAGATATCACTATACATATTAGAATGATCAAAATACAGAACACTTGACAACACCAAATGCTGGCGAATTTCGATACAGAAAACTCTCATTTATTGCAATTGGAAATGTAAAATGGTATAACCACTGTAGAAAACATTTTGTAGGTCTCACAAAAGTAAACATACTCTTACCAATATCGTGCTCCTTGGTATTTGCCAAAAGCCCTTGAAAAGTTATGTCCACACAAAAACTTGCATGTGGATTGTTATAGCAACTTTATGTACAATTGCCAAAACAAGAGTATATAAGAAATATCTCAACCTTCTCCTCAATTTTTCTGTGATCCAAAGATAGCTCTAAAAATGTACACTTATTTATTTATATTTTATTACAAATAACTAAAAACAAATATATTGAAAAGTATTAATTTTTAAATAGTAATTCAGAAATTATACAGATTAATTTTCTTTTATGCCTTTGGAAAGAAATTAATCACTTAGAGAGCCTAGAAAAGCTGCTGTTAGTTATTAACCCAGCTAACATGATTTATCTTTGAGAAATTGGTAATTGTCTCTCACTGAAATTCCCACCTATCTCATCTACATTAAAGCATTTTGCCATAAATTCAGGCTACCTCTAAAAATTCCTTAACATTAAAAGCCACCTCAGTAGACTTAGGATGTACAATTAAAATAATAGATTCAAACAATAACAATAATGACATGGTAACTCAAATTTAATAGCCAATTTATTAATGATATATTATTTACATCATTCTCCACTTTGTAATTCATTTTGAATAATAACATAAATATGGAGAAGAGATTGGTGGTAAATTTTATTATTGTTTTATTTAAATCAATTAATTAATTAATATTTTATGGTGACATTGGTTAACGACATCCAATAAGTTTCAGCTGTACATTTTAACAATAAGGCATATATATGTTTACACTGTGTGTTCACCTCCCATAGTTAAATTTCTTTCTGTCACCACATATTTGACCTCCTTTACCCCATTTCCCTCCCTTCTCTCCGCTGCCTTCTGGTAACCACTAGTGTATTCTCTATGACCATGAGTCTCTGTTTGTTTGTCCTGTTCGTTTGTTGTTTTTAGGTCTATATCCCACATATAAGTGATATCATGAGATTTTCAACTTTTCTGTCTGGTTTGTTTTGCTTAGCATGATTATCTCAAGGTCCATCCATTTTGTTGCAAATGGCAGTATTTCATCTCTTACGGCTGAGTAATATTTTTGATTTGTAATTTCACAGTATGGCATTGAAAATGTCTTATGAAATTATGTGCCAACTTTTGCATAATTTGCTCAATGTCATTCTCTTCATTTTTGTTTTGCTTTATATTTTTTACTGTGCATCGACCCTTCAAATATAGAATTTTCGTGAATACTTTAAGCTAGGTCTTTCTGAAAATGTGATCTAAAAGGTTGTGCACAATAATTTTACCTAAGGAGTTGATAATCAAGGCAGGATGTCACATAAAGGGAACAATATATCTGAAGGGCATAAGCATACTGGCATGGAAGCTGTGAGGTGGAAGTTCTTATTCAATCTGGCAATTTACACCTGAGTGTCTTTGTGGAATGCTTCTTCATTATCAAATTAAAGCATTCGTTATTTAACCTCAGACATATACTTAAATATTACAAAATAATGACTAAAAAAAGGCTTTCTAACCTGGGTTGTATATGATCACCAATTTGATTAGAATCCTTAATAAAGAAGGATTGTGTCTGAGTGTTTTTTTACTTAGATACAAAACATGTTTTCTGTGTGTAAAAAAATGGTTGATTTGGTCATTTGCAAACATTCATTCTTCTCCACAAATTTCCTAAAATCTGTCCCTTTCCAAACACATCATTTAAAGGTAACACTAAAATAAGTGTGTGCTATTGGTAATGCAGGATGTGCACTTTACTTTCCAAAGTGGGTTACAGTGAATATGAATTACTCAGGGACTTTCTACTGAGGAAATAATGGCAAAAAAATTGGAAGGGATTGGATTCGACTCAGGAAGATAAGGTAAACTGTAAGGTACTTCAACAATATTAGTGAGCCAGAAACTATAACAAGCTGGAAGGCAGATAAACATTCCTGACCGGAAATTAGAAAACTATTAAGAGGTCATTTGGGGCTGATATGATGGGGCTAATTTATCATGTGCCAATTCATTGAAAGGAAACAATAAGTATTAAATTCATCGGCACTTGGAGTTGTGGTTAAATTTTTTATTGAAATATTTTTGTGAATTTACTTTTATTCATTTCTATTTGATGTTGTAGAATTTATTTTATTAAAAGTAGTTTTATCTTACACATTACTGTTCATCACCCAAATATTCTCTCCCTCTCTCCTTCTTATCTCTCTTCTTGCTTCTCCCCTCTACCCTTTTTTTCTTTTTCTTCCTCCATTCTTTCTTCCTTATTACTTGTAATTCCCCTTTCTTTTAACATCTAGACATACTAAGTAGTCTAGAAGACCTAGATATATTTTTTATTAATAGCACATCAGAAAATTAGTGGTACATTTTTTTCCCGAGCAAACGTATATGCTAATAACCTCCACCCAACTTTATGTTCTTTAGGAAGACCCACTACATTATGTGAGACTATGGGGAAAGCAGAAATTTGGCTAATGCGTACATATTGGGATTTTGAATTTCCTCGTCCATACTTACCCAATTTTGAGTTTGTAGGAGGATTGCATTGTAAACCTGCCCAACCATTACCTAAGGTAAGTCTCTTATAGTGAAGGATTTTTGTATCTTATGATAAAAAATCTGATTTTCCTTTAAAGATTACAGCCTACATAATAGACATATGCTGCCGGATATCTTCAGTGTGCTACTCCAAATCAGTTTTCTAAGTCATAGGTGTCTCATAAGTGATATTACTGTTTGGGGGACTTTAATTTTTAAGATGAAGAATGAAGTGCTTTAACAGTATATTTAAAACATTTTAGTGTGTCTGTGGTATGGGTACTAAATTGAAGGGACAGGAAACTAGAGCCTTAGAAGTTACTAAGGAGACTGCTGTAGTCATCCTAAGATGCATGATGGAGTTATGAATAAGGACATTTACTATGACTGAAGGTTAAAGGGGCTTTCATGAGAACTCTCAGTTAGACTCCACAGGATTCGGTAAGAAGAGGTTAAGTGTTGTCAGAAGACACAGAATCACATACGGCTTCTTAGATAGCAGTTACCTTTACTGAAATAAGAAACAATTAGTGGAAAAACTTTTGAGATGACAATTATGAGTTCAATTTCAAATTCACTTTAAGGGGCCAAAGGAATTTTCGTGTGGAGAGTTCTAAAAATCATCTGGATAATATAAGGTTTCTGTCTAAGCAGTGACCATTAGAAATAGATTGGGAGTCATCAACATAAAGTAGAAGTCATAGAATTGAGAGATACAAATGCTAAATTTTTTTTTAAGACTACTATGCCAAGTTTTTGGGGGGAGTTGCGGGGGAAGATAAAAAGAAAATTGTATAACACATTCCAAAGTTTTTGAAGAATTAAGATAGACTGCCAAAAATGTTGGAAGAAAACAATATTGAGAAGCAAATATAAAAATAATAGGTAAATATAAAAATTGAGAGGCAAATATAAAAATAATAGGTAAATATAAAAATAATATATAACTATCTTTATCAATAAAGAGTGAGGAGACTGATACCCATTTGCTTGGGTTGTAGATAAACAAAAATAATCTCTGTAGAAGATTGCAGGTGCTCTATGGCATCATCTTTCCTCTAGTGATTTTATTAGCCTTAAACTGAGAACATCAGTGATGACAGGGCAACCACAAATAGTTACAAAGGGAATGCATGACACATCTGTAGAGGGTGATATTCACATAGAGTATGATGTGAAAGACCCTAATCCCAGACTTTACAGTGCTCCACTTGCACAACTGTGAGCAATCTACAAAAGAATTTTACTTTGCAGAGAAATTTATATTTTACTTCTGTGCCAAGGCTCAAATTACAGGCATGCAGTTAGACTCACACTCTTGTGGAAGGCAGAAAATCACTATGTTATAAATGTTATGATTATAACAAGAGGTTGACTGTGTTGTCACCTGTTAAACATATA